TATATATATATACACACTTTACTTACATAAGCCTATTTTATATAACTAGATATGCATCTAATTTTGTATTCTTTTATAGTTAAACATATTTAAATCATTTTTATTATTATTGTCACCATTTTTATTTTTCTTTTATATTTCTACTCTAAAACCACAAGTAAATTTTCATAATATTTTTTCATCCTACTTAAATTAATCATCTCTTTCAAAAAACAAATTTTAACTAAATAAATGGGTAAGCCCCAACAAACTCAGACCCAATCAAACAAAAAATAGGACTTTACCTGATTTGTGCTCTGACTAGCCCAAGAGCACCGTGGTTGTCAAGAGTGATAGCAACTCACCAAAGCCCAACAAGCTTTCCTTCTCGTTAGCAAAACATGCCGTTGGATGACGAAGGAATAGTCTGAAACGGCGTCTTTTTGGGCTGCTTTGGCTGCCGAATTGACCGCACCCAAAACAATGCTGTTTTATTTGTTCAGCTTTTAAGTATACAAATCTATTTTTGGCTATGATTTTTAGTTTTCGTGATTTCTGATCTGATTGTCTGGTTGTGGTATTTCTTTTTTTGATTGTGGTATTTGTATGCGGTTAATAGTCAAATAGTGATTTCTAGGATTTTTCATCAATTGGATGCTCTGTTTTTGGAGAATTTTATCTAGGGTTTTGATTTGGGAAAAAGGCAGCTTTATAGTTACCCCTCATATAGCCATTTGTTACCCCAGCATTGTGAAACCATTGCCAGACGTCCTTGACTGGGTGTAAACGCACCTTGTTGTGCTGGTATGGCATTTGTTGCTTTCTTGCCCTTTGTTTTTTTTTTTTTCTTCTTGTTTTTAGAACATTTTTTAGTTTATTTGGTTTTGATCCTGATTTTATTAAGCTTAATTATATTTACTTAGTTTGATCTGAAATTTTAATCTACTTATCTCTGACATTGAGCCTAGTGTCTGAGCCCAATAACCTTTCAGTGCAGTCCCACGCAAAGTTCACATTCATTAAAGGCTTGGGAAGCCCAATTCCAATTTTGGGTTTAATATCAATCTATAAATAAAAAAATACAAATAAAATAAAATGAAAAATAACATCCAGTGAAAAATAAAATCAAATTATGATAATAATAATCAGATTTAAAATAGATAAACAATAATATTAAAATTAAGAAATTAAAAATAATGTCTAGAAAGGGTAATGATTTGTCTATAATTTTCATACAATCTCAAACCATTGCTCTTT